CCAAACCTTTGGTGCCTTGTGGACACAGAAAAGTACAGTGGTGTATGCACAGCAGCTATGAAAGTTGCCTGCCTTTTCGGTTCAACCTATCTCTGTGAATCAGCTTTTTCTGACATGAACTTTATCAAGAACAAACACAGAACACGCCTTACTGATGCACATTTGGAAGCCTCACTCAGAGTTGCAGTGTCAAATTATTCACCAGATTACAGTTCACTGGTGAGCAGAATGCAGTGCCAGGCTTCCCATGAACAGACATTTACAGACAAAGAAAAGAGAGAACATGTTTTCACTGAAAACACCATAACAACATTAAACTGAAAATGTTGCACAAAAATATGAATAATTGTTCAAAAAAAGACTTGATAACTTGTGACTTGATTAATGATTTTCATGGTTTAAAATATGAGAAGTGATAATTTGAATATATGTGTTTCCTACCATTATTGTTGTGTAAATCATTGTTAATAATTGTGGGGAATAATTAACATTGACATGTGAACAGTCTCTTCTCATAGTATTCTCTTATTGTTACAGTATTATTACTATTAAAAAGTGATCAGTGCAAGTTTGTTATTCAGGAAGTTTGTATCAAACAGGTAGCCCTTCGTACTACTCAGTTCCCCTGAAGTAACCCTCAGTCTCAAAAAGGTTGGTGGCCCCTGATCTAAGCAGTGTGTTAAATGCCATAGATCTTTATTTGAGGTTGTAGTGCATTTTAAACTGAAGTTCCAAATTTACATGCACTGTTGTTGGATGTTCCACCTGAGGTCAAGTGGTTTAATATGATTGACTTATGTTCTGCATCTATCAGAGTGTCGCTGTTCTCATGTGTTTAATAAAATTCTGCAGGATTACCTGAGGAAATTGGCAGGTAAGATCTCATGTACTGTCCTCCAGTACGTTGAGGAAATGATGTGTGCTGGACTATGAAACGTGTCATTGGGACTTCATGATTCTGTTTGTTTGCTTAAGGATTTTTTTTTCTGACAACCTTAGCTGAATAGGGACAAAGTTTCATTGCATAAATCACTGTACTGTAAGAAACAGGTGAAGTATATGGACAGCTTGGTCAGAGGAGGGACAAGTGGTGTCCTCTTAGAGTTAAAGACAGTAAAGTAGCTGGGGCTCCTGGATTGACCATGGTAAGAAAATATATATTGTAGGGTTGAACGTGAATTGTTGAATTAATCATTGTTACAGTACACGCTGGCCTTCACTCTCCCAGACTATGTGAAATTATCATTAAAAGACATTCATTCATTCATTCTCTACTGCTTAATCCTTGAACGGGGTCACGGGGGGGGCGGAGCCAATCCTGGCCGGCAATCAGGCGAAGGCGGGGTACACCCTGGACAGGTCGCCAATCCATCACAGGGCCATTAAAAGACAATTTACCTGAAATAATTGAAATGTGGCTTCTTGCTAGCTCAGTTAGCATTTATGTTTATTGTGTTTTTTCATGTTTTTGGACGCTGATCATTTGAGGATCATGGTTATATGATATTTTAGTTATATTTTAATTGAGTTAGCTTTTGTCTTTTCTCTTTTTAGGCATAGTTCAGCTTAATGTGACACTACAGATTCCAGATTGTTTTTTCTTTACAGAGTGTGAAGGTCACATGTAATTTTTACTAGGATCTTAAAGTCCTGATGTCAAACTCTTTAACTCAGTAACAATAAACTTAATGTACTGACATATGAACTAAAGAAACCTAGTGAATAGTTGAGAAACAGAAAGCAGAGGAGCTTTGGCTTTTGGAAACGGTTAATTGATTATCAGAACGGTTATAGATTAATTTTTTGTCAGTTGCACAATTGCTTAATGAATTGATTGTTGTAGTGTTGGGACCCTGAAGTTCTACAAGACGGGCCGGCAAGGATGTAATAGTTGTTGTCTAGATTTTCATTTTCACAATGTGATAGGGGATAAAAGGACAATATTATGACAAATACATTAGTGAGTGTACAGGGCGATGGGAAAGTGAATCAAGCAAACATATAATACTGTACCCCTGTGTTCTGAATGTAATGTGATAGGTGGACACATGCAGTGGTTATTTCGGATCATGTTATATTTTAAATATTGTGACTAACTTCAATACAGGAGGACTCTCTTCAGGAGGTAACCTGGATATAAGGTAAACTTTACTGTTGGTTGCACTTTTGGTTAGTTGTCAGAGCTAAATTAAGAGGATTACGATGTTTTATTCAGATCTAGTAATATCTTGATGTAGATGCTAGTGCGTTCTGCTTATAACAGACTTTTCTTCTTATTGGAAATGGATGAATGGTAGTTCTTTTAGTTTTTGTGTGTTTTTCTGCTCAGTGTGTTGAATTTCCCTGGGTTGTATGTATGGATTTTAAAATCTCCCCTCACAGAAGTCACAGATTTGCCTGCATAATGACAATGAATAGTACACTTCCTGGTCGAGTAGTCATTTTATTCAGCTGCTTGATGCTACTGCTGCTATTTTTGGTGTGTGTGTGTGTGTGTGTGTGTGTGTGTGTGTGTGTGTGTGTGTGTGTGTGTGTTATGTTTAGACT